TATGGTCTTAATCGCTCCCCACTGCTCCCATTGGTCCGTTCTCCCAAACCACCCCCCCTGACACTTCGTATATAAGCAGCGCCTTTCACATCATATTGCTACAGCTACTGCTCTCCGCATTCAAAGCCATTCAACTGCTCTGAAGATGGAGGCGCTACGTTCCTCCGAAACGTCGGCCAAAACAAAGAATACACAGTGCCTAAACCCAGAAGACGACTTTCTTACACTAATATCTTGTCTCCTTCATCTAAGTTTTGCTAGCTGATTTTAATTCTAATAACCAGCATGAACATTTCATGATTGTATATGAATATACCCTTTGGAATATTTCCATTTTATCCTTTTTCCAGACGATAACGACGTTGTGTTGCCACAACTGGATATAAGAAGCTTAATAATTCGTTTATCATATTATCTCAAGCCACAAATATTCTGATGTATTTTCAGAGAATGATGTATAACAGGTGATTTACTAAGTTTATTTAATTTGGTGGAATGTACTGCCCTTGAATTACATGTGTTATAGCGTTTAGTACTTAATTTTAAATTTCCCATAAAAATCCTTCGTTTTTGTTGCAGGCATTTTTCTCATATGCTTTACTGATGTATTTTCAACAGTCTCAACTGAAGTCAATGGAAAAAGTTGATTTACAGAAGAACTAATTGTTCAAGGTTGAACTTCATGATATCTGAGCGCTATGATATTTGTGCTGAGATTATTTTCCTTCTCTACAAGATGAAAAATCTGAAGAACTAAATTGAATGATAGTATTTCTTTACCCAGATCATGCAAGTGTAATCCATGTTTAATACACAAATGTCTATTTTAATTTACTTCCATCACACTGAGATGTGGAAATAGTTTGTTGACCTTTAGTAATTTTCTATTAAAATTAGTAATTTCATTGAGTAATATTAGGACCTTTTGTGTAATGCCTATAAGGGACTGTTAAAAGAATCACATTCATATGAGTGACTCTTAATGAATTCAATAAAATCATTAAAAACCATACTTAATTTTACTCTACCAATATCGTTTGACCCACAACAAATAATAATAAAACTTTTGTCTAGCAAATTATCAACATCTTTTGTACCTTGTTCAAATATTATTTTGGTACCAGCTCCAGGTTTAATGTAACCACTTACTTGGAACTCATCATTCAAATAATTTCTCATATTTTCTGAGTAGCCTCTTATATGACTATCACCTATCACAGTATTTTATGTTTGAAGATTTGGAAAGATTGTTTTTACTACTCAGCAATTTGGGATATAATTCACCTACATAATTATGAAGAGAGAGCACTTCCTCATCCTTAGGAGAAACACATCCATTAATAATAGTTGGAATGTTTTGGTGTTTGGTATGATCTTCCTGAACATTCACATTCCATATCTATATTGATATGCACTTTTTTTGGTGCACCAGTACGATGCTTTATATAATGCCTCGGCTGTGCATTTTCTGTATCACGACGATCTTCAACCTCTTGCGTTTTAGACGCGCCATCTTCTCCACCTGATGGATAGTCCGTTAGATTTAATAGAACGTTATATCGGTTATACCGACAATTAGTAGCATTAGTAGTTACAGCAAAGTATGGCGTATATGTACAGTTCGTATGTTCTTCTTTCCAATACTTCTATACCTTATATATTTGGTCGTTAGCCAACTATTTTGAGTTGTCCGACTTCACATTCGCCGTTACACCAGGTATAACCTCAAGTTTGACGGTAGTCTCTTCCAACTCTTTAGACAAGAGTTTATTTCGTTTAATTCAGCCCATTGGTACCACTTAATGGCAGTCCACCATCTTATTTCCTTGCACCTATTTAGCCTTTCGCCTTGACTGCAGAAGCTGCCCATTTGGCCTAGATAACCTTGTCATATTAAATCAATTAATTTTCAAACTTTAAGTACCGTATTACATGGCAAACAATTTTATATATATTGTGACATGTTGACCCCTACCTCCCCAGCGGAACAAGGCGGTAACGTAGCGCTCGCGTAATAGGCGAGTCATCACCCCACCACTCTCCCCGCGGTGACATCACGAGCGGAGCCGAAGTTAGCCAAGTCCCCGCATCCTGGTAGCTGTGCAACGTGCAGTGACGCCACGGTGACGCAGAACCGCTTCCTACTGTGACGTGGCACGCAACAGGCACCACTGCGGATATATAAGGGAACTGCACAGCAGCTACAAGTTAGTTGTAACGTAACAGTCGCCGAGTCGAGTTGACATATAGCAGCAGTCGCCGAGTTCAATAGTAGTTGAGCGAGTGTGTTATCAACAGTTCTCCAGTGAGCAGACTACAGTTGGAGTATAGCAGCCGTCGCGGAAAGAAGAACCGGACGTGTGTGATTGTGTAACTGGGAGTGTGTGATACAGTGATACATAGCTCCCGTACTGTAAACGTGTAGACTACTGAAGACAGAGGGAGCTGATTTGCGCATAGGGTTATAAAGTGTGAAACCCCGCAACAGTGGTAACAGATTATTGCGATTAGGGTTATTAAGTGTGAAACCCCGCAACTGTGTTATAATTGATTGTAGCCTTGATTTGTACATTGTTAAATAAACCAATTAACAATCCGTACAGCGTCTTCAGTAACAAGACACGTTACAATATATATTTAGTATCAGTGGTGCTTATTTATTATTTTTACAATTTATTTCCAAATCCAAGCAGCTTCTTTCCATTGTGACGATTGCGACACCTATCGGATGATGTAGAAGTTACAACTTCACGCATAAAGCGACAAACGATGTGATTGGATATTGAAAAGTGCTATATTGTATAGTGTTTGCTGGAGACAAATTAAGGGCCGTGTTTCATCATTGATATGGATACGTAGGTAGTCATTTTGTGGTGTTCGCAGAACAGGCAGCTAGTAGGAGGTCGTGTGATTGACTTTATTGTGTTGTAGTAAAGTGTGGTGTGAATATTTTGGAGAACTACCAAAGTAACATTACATCGATGGTAATAATGGCCAAGGTAGTGAAAGAGGTAGCCGAGGAATATGCGTCTTCGTTATCGGATCTCACCAGGAAGAGCAAGGCGATGATCAACAGGTTTTTGATGGTTGCTGTGAACCGATACTTCTCCCGTCTTCACCCTACTACCACCAAGCGTCGGTGAAGTCGGGAGCGGTTCGTCGTCTCTGGCCCTCGCGTTGTGTTTACAATGCTCCCTAAGATCATCGTGGGAAACCAAGCTTGCGGCGGAGAATCATTATTGAAGTCAATGACACCCAAAACTAACAATAACAATGTTTAATAAACACAGAAATAAGTTATGACAAAATACACAAAAAATATATATACAGATAGANGTCGCATGATATCATGATTTTAGGACACATTAGTTTGTAACACACTATGCCTTGCTCTGGCGCCACCCAAGTTGCACGCATTGGCATAATAAAACTCTGGAATGTTTGCGTACTTGTCAGTAACTTGATCTCGCTGTTTTCTTAAGCCACTATAAAAAAAATGCTTTGCTGCTATTAGAGCTATATGTATCAGCCAGTAGTTAGTGGTGGGGTATGGACAAGGACAAATTTTTCTCCGATGAGCCAGCTGACCTGCCTTGTGAGACGAGTAGTTATGGTGATTGAGAGTGGCAGTGACAGGGCAGAACAAAGAACTGTGGCCACAGACAGTAAAAATTGGCAGTAGCACCGACGATAATGGGAGTAATAACATTGTGGGGACAGTAAAAAATCTAAAAAAAAAAAAAAAAATCACAAAAATCTAAACCCCGATTCAAAATTGAAATACAAGGCATTTCTGGTGAATGTGGCAAAGGCCTGGGCTACAGACCAGATGGTGGAGGCAGAACCAGAGTCGGACAAAGATTTAGTGCGACCTGGCCCATCAACTCCCACCCCACGCATGCCTCATGTGGAGCCCCCAGGGTCACTCTCGGGCAATATGCGGAAACATGCCCTCGTGAAAATTGTGAAGAGTGAACATTCCAAGGGGAAGCATCCTTCTAGGTAATGCCGTGTTTCCACAGTTCACAAAACAAGGAGTACGTCTACATTTGCAAGTTCTGTGTAATGCCACTTCACACAGGGGAATGCTTCCAGAAATATCACACCCTCAGGCACTTCTAGGAGCATTGGTAAGTGTTCTCCAAAAATTTTAGTTCAAAAAATTAATTATAAGATTTTATATTAACTTTTGAAGTGATCAGTGCAAGTGTTAGGATAGTAGGTTTAATAATGGCGGTCCCCAGGGTGATTTAAATATTTAAATCACCGGTCCTTAATGTGTTAACTCATTAATACTGAAGAAATAAAACACATGGTCAACTAGACTTTGCACATGTCATCACAATAATGAAATGTATGGCCAGCATAATCATATTTCTCAGGATTACTATTACTAGGTTTTTGGACTTCGTCCATTGTATGGTATTCTAAGAAACACAAAAGAACACAACATTTCAGAAAATGAGTGTTTCCATCCTCAGATTCCAAAACAGTGTGTTCTTTTGTGTTCTTTAGAATACCAGATGATGGACAAAGCCCAAAAACCCACTGATCCTGAGTGTTGTACACCATCATCAGAATCCCTTAGTATCTACCTGTAATCATAATTTTTATGATTTTCAAAAGCTTTACTTTGCTACAACTTGTGTTTATGATAACTTTGGTGATCACTCAGATTCCAAAACAGTGTGTTCTTTTGTGTTTTCTGTAGAATACCAGATGGACAAAGCACAAAAACCCACTGATCCTAAGTGTTATACACAATCATCAGAATCCCTTAGTATCTACATGTAATCATATTTTTTATCATTTTCATAAGCTTTACTTTGCAACAACTTGTGTTTATAATAACTTTGGTGATCACTCAGATTCCAAAACAGTGTGTTCTTTTG